CATTCTAAGAAGTGTCAGTCTCAGAAACCTCCGCACAAGGAAGACAGTTCTCTAACTGGATTAAATCAGATCATCTACAAGTTAAGCAGACTGATCCAGTGTCCATGTTAACCTGACCCGACCTGCAGTCAGGTTCTATGTTTGACTTTCTATTTTTGGTTCGTTCACAAAGATCTGATGTGGGAGAAAATATAAATGTAGATAATTCAGTGATTGTCCTAAGCAGAGGTTAACGTATGACATCAGTCGCGTCCCATATTATGTACTTATGCACTATTCTGTTATGTTTTGTCGTATAAATAGTGCGAGTAGAGTGTTCACACTGAAAATTCCTAAAAGAAAAAGTGCGCTTAACCAAAAAACTAAGTGTGTAATTTTGGACACTTCATGCACTCAACTCTCACAGGCTCAGCTTGAATTATGTCGCGAAGGGGTCGGGGCTATCAGACTCCAATTATGAATGAAGCACTACATGGTTGAGTACATAGTGTATAAGTGCATAGTGTATATTGCATCATTTGGGATTTTTTTACAGCTGTTGAAAAAAAAACGTTAAAATGTTAACTTACAGTAAATATTGTTTCCAATTCATCCTTGTCGATTTTTCCATTGCCATCCTGGTCAAAAAGTTTAAAGTACCATTTGAGTTTCTGGTTGATTTCCCCCTTGAGCATTAAGCTGATAGCAGCGATATATTCCACAAAATTGATGTATCCATCCTAAAGAAAAGAGAGAAAAGCACGAGAGAGACAGAGAGGGACAGTTCATATTACAATATTTTTTGTTAGGCTGTTTTAATATGAACAGTCCAGCTAAGGAAATCCAAGCAAGATCATTATGTTAGCTTGTTTTTTTTTGTTTTTTTACCTTAATCAATGTAAGCTTTGTAACGTTGTTGCATTGTAAGCTTTTCTCCTCTAAGCTGTACAGTCTACTATGAGATCTCAATGTTGTACTTGACTCAACATATCAGTAAATCAATCAAGTGAGCTTGGAAGAATTACACAACAAAATGTAACCTCCATATTTCTTATTAAACATCATATATCATATTGCCTGCTGTCGACACAGTCCCCATATAGCAAAATATAAAAGTAAAACAAAATGGCCAAAAAAATATTGCTAGAATAAATGTTAAAATACATTTAGTTGCTAATATTTCCTCCTATATGTTTGCCAATTTTTTAGCTATGTTTTTAATTTTAATATATTTATACTGTCCAATTTATGCTTTAAAAATAACATTTTGCACTTACCCAAAATGCATTATAAGACTGGATTGGAAGTATTTTCTCAGCTGTTGAAGTACATTTTGTAGTATATTTTGGCATTTGAACAAAGCAAAATGGTAACTAAATATATTTTCAATATAAAAAGTATATTTATTTTACTATACATATATTTATTTACAATCAGCATATATTTGCCATATATTTTGACCATTTTTTTTTTGTCGAGTGGGTCAGAAGGCTTTTGAACATAATAAAAATAGGTATATTTAAACTGTACATTACTAAATGATACATATAAATATTAATATTGTGCAGTTTTATCCAAAGTAACTTGGATAAATCAGATATGCATTTGCTGCCTCTTCCGAGTAATACCTGTGTAAACGATAAATGGTTTACCACCAGAGTTTAGCTTGTTTTACCAATCTGATCTCTGGTGCACATGCACAAGTTTATTTGAAACATCCATTTAAGATCAAACAATAACTTGATAGCTATGTAACAGGTCTGATCGCAGAATTAGATCCATCACAATCCTCAGAAATTACAACGCTGATTGATGTTACATTCTAATATAACCAAGACAAATCACTTCAAGAATGAATTCCCACCCCATCCATGTCGAAAGTGAACACTTGGTCCACATAACTGTTAGCATCCTCATTCATCCCCTGCAGTCCCAGGATGGACTTGAGCTCAAAAAGAGTGATCAGGCCTGATGGAGACTCCCGCATGAACTTGTTATACCAGTGGTGCATGTCCTCAGCGAGGATGTCGTCCAGACTTGCGTGTGTGTTCCCCATGGCTGTGCCCTGCAGCCCTCGCTGGTCCAGGCGGTTGCAGGCCTGTGAGCTCTGATGGCGAGGTGCAGACAGGCCTCCAGGATACTGAATGTCTGAACTTAGATCCAGGTACCAATAAAAAAAGATGGCACCTTAAAATAACTACTGCTAATGGGATAATGGCGAGGCCTGCCCGTTAAAGAGTAACTGGCACAGAGTAGAGAATGCATATATAACAGTGTTCAGCTGTTCAGCTCCAGATGAACCGTTTGTGCGGTCGTTGTAGTGCAGAGTGCATCAGAGGCCACCTCGCACTATTATACTTATCCATCCATCTCTCAATGCAGACTTTAAATAACTCTTATTTTTACAAAATAAGTTTAAAACTTAAATAGGAGTGATAGAATTCTGGCTGATACTGATTAATGTTTTCATATTATAGCTGACAACGCCACATTAAAATTCTATACAATTTTGTCTGAATATTAAAAAAACTATAACCAATCATTTTAAAGTACAAGTAAATATAGGCATTGCAACATAATACTGTATATACATAAAGTCTCTCTGTGTGTGTGTAAATAAATACTTTAATAAACTTTAGTAAAGACGTGTAAATACATACTTTATGTATACTGTATACACTGTGTGCGCGTGTAAAATGGATATTCATTTTGTAATTTGCTAGTATGATTTTTTTCGTATTATGGCTGATAACACATTAAAATTCTATACTATTTTGTCTGAATATTAAAAATAAATAAAAACTATAACCAATCATTTTAAAGACTACAATTTAGGCATTGCAACATTTTATATATATAATTACATTTAGATCATATTTAAAAAAATAAATATCAATAAAAACAAAACAAAAATAAAACAAAAAAATATTGGCCATTAACTGATATAGGAGAAATATATTGTACATCCCTAAATTTATTTGATAAATGATTGCATGTAGTTTCTGATCATGCAGAATCAACATAACATTTTATACTTCATAAAAGTATATTATTGTAGGATTTATTGTTTTGCATAAATTCAATTGAAAAAATAATTGATGCAAATAAGATGTTTTGCATAACCAGCTAAACATTTTTACAAAAACAGCAAAATACAAACTAAAAAGTCTCCATGTCTTTAGTTTTACAAAAAAAAAAAGCTGCTGCAAATTGTGTAGCTCCATTTTAAAATGAAAACTAAACTGAAAAAAAAAAAAAACTAAATTGTTAAGTGATCATAGCAAATGTACAATCACTATTCTTTCAGGTGAGAAAATTGCTGTTCACTTTCATTTTCTGAATTAAATAGAAATGAAGGGTGAGAAAGCATTTTTTTGCAATTCATGGGAAATGGAGTTGTCACACAACACTTTAATGCAAATGCTATTGGTGATATGACCTGATGATCTCCCAGCTTTGTTTTGTCCACATGCCAGTCCGATCACTGACTTTTCTCACTTGAAAGTGGTGACGAGGCAGACCTGTGCTCTTCGTTAGGGTCTTAATGTGTTTTGTATCCACTGCAGTAAATGGGATTAAGTGACTGTAGTCATGAGCTCAAACGTTCATTGTGAGCATTAGCCTGAACCTCTCAACTCATTACTTTCCTGCCATTTCTAAAGGTCTACCAGTAAATTAAGAGAAGTTTCCTATGCTGGGATTAGCAGCGACTCTGTCAAACGTCACGTGAAGGAACAAAACAAATGAACACATTAATGATCAAGGTGCGACACATGCAAACATACTTACATAATTATATAAAAACAGGGAAATGTGATTAGCTCGTGTGCTATGCCTGCTCAAACCTGAGCAACAGGAGGATGTTACTCATCTTTGGAAAAGATTTTATAAATAGTGTCAACTGTAATAAAAGCATAATTATTTGTAAAACATATATTGTCCAATCAGAAGCGACTCTGTCAAACGTCACGTGAAGGAACAAAACAAATGAACACATTAATGATCAAGGTGCGACATGCAAACATACTTACATAATTATATAAAAACAGGGAAATGTGATTAGCTCGTGTGCTATGCCTGCTCAAACCTGAGCAACAGGAGGATGTTACTCATCTTTGGAAAAGATTTTATAAATAGTGTCAACTGTAATAAAAGCATAATTATTTGTAAAACATATATTGTCCAATCAGAACAATAGAGTAAAGCAAAAAGTGAACAGGCTGTAATTCCACCTGTGAAAATCATTTTCAAATTCTCATAGCAATGGTTATTATCCTCATCGATTTCATATGGTTTATTTTTACATCACACTTTCCGGTGACAATATTAGCAATCAGGACCAACCAAAAAGTCTGCTAGTATTTCAGTGAAAGCCAGATTAGGAAACATGAGTTGATCCACAGTTAATCCTTCCTCCCCTGACCTTGAATATCTGATTCCAATCTTTAATTAATCTCATTGCCATTACTGGACAATATTGAATCCTTTCACAACTTCGAAAAGCAGCATGATATTTGGGTCCATGCCATAGTTAAATATACCAGTCGTAGTAGTGTTCAGTGTGAATATTAAAACAGAACACATGCTTAATGAGTGAGATTTAAATGATAATCTGTGCCTAACTAGAGCTTCCATGAGCTCAGCACAGATCCCAGAGATGAGAACAGGCCTAACGCTGAAAATCTGTCAGTGCCCTGATTAGAAGATTTTATAAGAGGAAGAAGCTATTTCTATGTGCATATTTGTAGCTAATATTTTGTCTAGAGGCCGGAATAGGACCAGCCAGGGTCATGACCTCGTGGTTCCATCTTAATGATCCTTACATATACTATGATACTTTTTACATCCAACATTGCACTGAGAAAACTACAATATTTTCCAATGAAATGTGGAAATGATTTTTTTTTTCATACTCCCATTTTTTATTTTCTGCAAAGATCAACTATTTATATTTTTTTAATAGGAAAACTATAAACTATAAACATAAACAGAACAGAAAAAGTCCTTCAAGTGAAGACTATTAACTATATACAAAATATTTCACAAAACAAAATAATGTGTAAATTCACACAAGCGGCTCAGAACAGAGGTATTACCAAAATGTTAATACAACTGTACGGAAGAGAAAATACTGTTGTTCTCTGCACCTGCAGGTTTCACTTGCTCATTCAAACGACTCAAATGTGTGAAGTCTAAAACTAAGTTATTCACATTATTCATCTTCTCCTGATGTCTTTGCTTTGGTTAAGCAGAGAGTTCTTCGGTCTGAGGCAGATCTGACCTTTTTCTCTATTAAGAGACTTTACGATCCTGCAAAATATAAATAATGAGATCAAATGAAACAAGAAGTTGGTGCGTGTAACTAGTGTGAACATGGATATGACTCGCACTCACTTGGCTCTAATGGTTTACTTCATCTTCTTTCTGTTCCTCTTCTTTCTCATCTGTTGTGTCCGGTTCTGTTTGTGGTTGCGTGACTGGCTCTTCGCCTGTTTCTTCTGTACTGTTAGCCAGCTGTGGTTCATCTTCACTTTTCTCTTCCTTTGTCTCTGGTTCTGTTTTCTCTTCTTTCTCTTCTCCCTCTTCCTTTTCTGAAGTCACAGTCTCCACTTTTTCCTCCAGTTCTGGCTTCTCAGAATCTGTGGATCTAGTTTCCTGCTCAATCTGTTCTTTAGAGGAGAGAGATTCTGCATCCGGTGAGGTCTTGTGTTCTTCAAACACGTCTCCTTCGTGCCCGTTTGGAGTCGTTTGATCGAGGGTGGCTGTTTTATCCACCTCTTCTCCGCCTTCATCTGCACTGGACTTCCTGTGTCGGCGAGACGGTGGGCGCCGCTTGATGGAATGTCGAGCTCTACCCTGTGCAGATTTCAAAATGCGTTCGAATTCAAACACTGTAACAGTTTTTATTGGTTTGAATTAGGGCTGCACGATATTGGAAAAAACTCACATTGCGATATTTTTTTTTTCTGCGATATATATTTGCGATATGGAAAAAAAATCTGATGACTCCAATAGCTGTATTTGGAAAAAAAAATCAATGATTGGGGTGATTTTGTAGGCGAGTAAATCAGCATAGGAAATAAACAAATTACAAGCATAGATAAATAACAGAACAAAGATACAAATGAAATAAGCAGTGCTTTATATTTTTCAGGTAAGTCTAACAGTATTTAGGTACAGAAATGGAATAATCAAATGTAAAATAACACTGCATAGCATTGCTATGCTAAGCAACCGTGACCTGCACTCTCCACGATGACGCGGAAGTTTCAACAAAGGATAAATGGATTTCCAGCACTGAAAATCGCTTGCAGTAGCTCCGCTACTAAATGTATTTAAAATGGGTATCTGTACAGCTGTCGCGTCCGGTGTAGACACCTTGTCTGAGTGTGAGCAAAGAAAACAATCAGTATAAATATAACGATCAGTATACTAAACATCGCACATCCTGCGATGTGACTATCACGGATGCGCACATCGCGATATCCATACTGAAACAATATATCGTGCAGCCCTAGTTTGAATTCACTGACATGTGAAATGATACGAAGCCTCAAACCTTGTTGATGCTTTTGAGAACAGTTCCCTCGGCGGTACTCTCAAAGTTGGCAGGAGTTTCCTCTTGTTTGGGTGTGACAGTTGCAGGAGGACTAGAGGGGCTGCTGGGAGAGCCAGGGGAGAAGAGCGGCACCGGTAACTTCACCACCCCTGGGCTCTTTGGGAAGGGCGGAGGTCCCGTGGGAGAAAGCGTAAGGCTGGCCTGTGTGAAATGGGATGGAAAATCACTTTCATTATCTAAAGCAATACTGGCCCCTGTCCACTAGAGGGAAACATTGCTGTGAACAACCAACCTGCAGTTTCTCAATGAGGGCAGAGTTTCTGTTCTTCCTGGTTGATACGGTTTCAGCTCCTTTCTGAACGGATAAAAAAATAAACCAGTTATGTAAATATAAAAACTTTTAACAATACTAATGTTTTATATTGAGACAAAGCTTTGAAAATCTGCATCATTGCTACAACGCATTGCATATTTTGATTTGAGGTAATAGTGTACAAACATAATTTTTATATGCATTCAGCTACTAAGGATAATGTTTTAACTACACTGTAATGAAAGCTAGTTTTATTACTGACAATGTAGGTTTTTTTCCCCCGTAAATCCCGGATCGTCTCACCTCATCCTGGCCTTGACCTGCGTCATTACCAGCAGGCAGCGGCAGAGAGCGTGGGGGTCTCCTCCTCACAGGCTTGTTCTGAAACAAAAGAAGAGCTCAGATCCACATGCCTAAACACGTACATACCTTACTACCACATTACTTCCAGAGAATTCTAATGATCAAAAAAGAAAAAAATAAACCCCCTCAAACAAATAAATATGAATATTTACTATTTAAAAAATAAAAGTAATAAAAAATAAAAAAATACAATAAACATTTGTAGAATTAAATAATTAAAAGCCAAATAAAATGTATAAAAAAATTGTATTGACAATAATATCAAAAAAAAAAAATATATATATATGTAAAAAAAATTAAAATATTTTTTTTCTATAAAAATTAAAAAGTAGTAATAAAACAATACATAATATTTAAAAAACAATTATAGAAATATTATATTATAACAGAGACAGAAAAACTCAGATATGAAAGAATTAAGATATAAATAATTAAAATTAAAACAATTAAAATATACTACAAAATCAATACCTAATATTAATTACAAAAAGTAATCAAAATATTTCTAATAAAACAAAATTAATAAACATAAGAAAAGAATAAAACTATTTAAAAATCCTATCTAAAAATAAAATACACTTTAAAAATTACACATGACTACATAAAATATTAAGATAATGCCACATACAAACGGAAACAGACTTTGTGAGGGAAAAAAAACACTATTGTATATACTTGAGAGTTTGCAATGAGGAAATGTTTAAGAAATACTAAAGTGAGCGACAGGGCTTGCAAAAGGGGAAAAAGGCAGGAAAGTAGTTGTAAAAAAACAAGATAACCCATCTGTCACCTGCATAGACATGCAGCATAGTATTTCTGCATTGCATAACATTTCCCCTTATTAATATCTGTGCCTGAGGACACCTTCCTGAAAAAAGGAGATATTAGGAAGTTCAAGTGCGAAAGCAGAGAGGATGTGATCATATTCGGATAACATGGAACCTCACCACTTCAGCGTCTGTCATATGGGATATTGGACAACTGAATTTTCCAGCTAGTTCAGCCACGGAGCGCTTTTTTACAACAGAATGCTCCTGAAATACAAAAATGTTAGTGTATGAATAAGAATGCCCCCTTCTTTTTGATATATTTTCTGTAATATTAATCTAAGGCATTACAATCCATGGCAAAGCACTCTAAAATCAATTTATTAACTGTAAAAACAACTGCCACCTTTATAAATACATAACACATTTTCTTAAACATGTATGAAAACACACAATATTGCAGAGGGCAAAGCAACACCTTATATTAGAGGATTTTAGTCCAGCTTTGACTTTTTAATCTTCTAGTAAAGATTTCTAATTACAAGCCATTAGGTTTTGTTATGCTGACTTCTACAGTGAGGCTGAGAAAATGTCTTGTTTTTCACCACAGGAAACCACAGTCGTGAATGCTCATTTGAGCAAAGTGATGAAAAGAGTGTATTTCAAAGGAAATCTTTGAGAAATTGCTTTTTTAGCCATGCAAGCATCCTCAGGGGGACAGTCGGGTATGACTTCAGCACGCTGTTATCATTCCCGTCTCAGGCTCTTCCATCCACAGGCTTCCATCTATGACCATTAGCACTCTCACTATCAGTGAAGGGAAACCAGTGCTGCCTTGTCAAAAGTGATAGCAGAATGTGGTATTTTAGGGCTGAGGCAATGTCTATGGACTTACACAACTGTTTGTTTTCAAGATGTTCAGTCTCAGAGCTTTGTGGGAACCCACCAACACTAAGCTGTATGCAGTCTATACCTTACAGGATGTTGGTTATACAATGATGAGGCAACTTAAGATAAGACTGAAGAATATACGAAGAGTCAAAAACAGGAAGGGTGCTTGAGCAAGCCAAACCACTTTTGAACAAAGTTAATTATGAATACAACTTTTCTAATAAAGTTTCTCAGTCTGCAGGTAAAAAAATGTTGGTAACATTTTACTTAAAGGGGTGGTTCATTGCGATTTCACTTTTTTAACATTAGTTAGTGTGTAATGTTGCTGTTTGAGCATAAACAATATCTGCAAAGTTACGAAGCTGAAAGATCAATGCAAACAGAGATATCGTCTTTTAAAATTCTGGCAGTTTAATGCCTAACCAATCAGAGCCCATCGCCTATTCCTGAGGGCGGGGCTTCATAAAAGAAGGAAAAATGGTAAAAGAAGGTAAATTATGTGAAAAATAATGCGTTTTTAAAAAAACCAAGCATTAACACATACAAGACTGCACCCCATAAACACAATCAAGCCTAGAAAAAAAAACACCCCTTTAAAGCCTTTATGTATAAGGCATTATAAAGGGTTATTAAAGGGTATAATGTATTATAAGTATTCATAATGTTTGTTGTAATACATGATTTCTTGTCATAAAACAATTATCGAATAATAATCGAATTTTAAATGCATAGTGAAACAATGAATTGATAAGTGTTATAATGTATTAACTGTGGTTGTATTATAATGTATTAATTGTTCACGAAACTGTGCAATGCATTAAAAGGTGCATTACAAGGCATAATTAATGCATTAAAACTACTTTTATAATGCATTATTTATACATAAAGGCTTTAAAGAGTTAGTTCACCAAAAAAAGAAAATTCTGTCATTAATCACTCACCTTCATGTCGTTCCAAACCCGTAAGACCTTCGTTCATCTTCGAAACGCAAATTAAGATATTTTTGATAATATTTTTGATTCGTTTGTTTACGTTCAGCATGCACGCGCTGTCTACTGAATGTAAACAATGCTGATTACATTGATTACGTTCTGGGGAACTCTCCAAAATGGCGGAAGACGGTAACTCAGGGAGAAGAATTGTTGAATAAATTATGTTATTATTGTTTTCTTTGCACACAAAAAGTATTCTCGTAGCTTCGTAAAAATTACAGTTGAACCACTGATGTCACGTGGACTATTTTACCGATGTCCTTGCTACGTTTTTGGACCTGGGAACATTACAGTTGCATTGCAGTCTATGGAGGGTCAGAGAGCGCTCACATTTTATCAAAAATATCTTAATTTGTGTTCTGAAGATGAACGAAGGTCTTACGGGTTTGGAACGACATGAGGGTGAGTAATTAATGACAGAATTTTCATTTTTGGGTGAACTAACTCTTTAAGTAAAGTGTTGTTTACTTAAAACAGAAAAATTATCATCCCAAAATGCTGCTCTTCTCAATGAATTGAAAATGCATGATGGCTGTAAAATTGAGTCGTAATTATCTTTTTTATTAAATATTATGTTTTATTTATAATACATTTTATTATTATATACACATAACAGTTAGTTCAGAGTTAGTAGGTTGCAAAAAGTGACTGACTTTATTAGTGAGTCATTTAATCATTCACTCAACCGATTTGTTCAAAAATGCTAATTTATCCAGGAACAAAACAAGTGACTACTGTCTTCATGAGTGAGTCACTGAATAATTTTGGATTCAATGATTAAAAAACAATGGATTCAATAACTCAACTGATTCAAAAACACTGATTCATCCAAAAATGAAACACTACAGAGGTCTTGTGCAGAGATATGCAATGCTTCTACTGTGACTTAGTTTGAAGTGAAGTAAAAAATGTTAGTCGATATGTTTGTCAATATTAAATTTCATTAAATGAATGCTTTAATATACTTTGAATCCCTTTTAATATGTAAATATATTAGGTTAAGATTTGAACCTGAATCTTCCCTTCTAGACTCAAATATGATGTCAAGCTAACACAAAGAACTACAATTCTTTAAAATTCTTTTTGTCTTGCTTCAGTGTCTATGTAAGCCTGGTAGCAATAAAAAAAAAATTGGGCACATGACAGCCAGCTGCTTAATAAAAAAGCCAAATAAGACCTGGTAAACGCCTGGTACCTTGATGCATTCAGGCCTCTATTTAAAAAAAAAAAAAAACTCTTTTGCCCAGCCTCTTTCTGTCTGCACTGCTCTCAGTGCTGCCCATGTGTTCCAGCTCCACTAGATCCAGTCCTCTTTAAGATAAAAGCATTCCATCATGACATCATTTGCCCTATTTAGTGCCCAAGATAGACAGAAAAAAAGCTTGTTCTGTGAAATAGCTTGTTGCTATTTTAAATCGAGGCATGTTTACAATTCACTGATATATCAGTATATATACTCAAAATTTGATATTCCATGTTTCTGAGTAGAAATTACTCATAACAGAAACAGATTTAAGCAGTTTAGCTCATATCAAGTAGGTAGACATGTATTTTGTCACCCAGCTCACTTCAAACTCCAGCCTGAGAAAACATTCTCCAGTGTGACCCCCAAGAAACATTCACAGAAATTCTTAGTGTCACTGACAAATTGACAAATTTATGCTAACCGCCAAAAACAACATGGGAAGATGATGAGGACCTGCCCCAGAGACTGAACCGCTCCCATGCCTGACATGCAATGTAAGACCATGCTTGCCATTTTTAACAACAGCAACTGAGAAAACACTGATTTCCTTCATCCAGTACCCCTCTATAATAAGTTTTTTGGTATTACAGTAGATATTATGCAAATATAAACAATCTGGCATTGCTAACATGTATTTCTGCTCTACTCTGTGGGAATATTTTACAGAGAAAGGAATTTCATCCAAAACTGAAAATTTGCTGTTAATTTACTCACCCCCAAGATGTAGGTGACTTTCTTTCTACAGTAAAACAGTAAAGATTTTAGCTGAAACTGTCGTCCTTGGTGATTTATAATATGCAAAAAAAAAAAACCGCTCATGCTAATGACATATGCACGTATGTTAACTGACACTGTTGTTGTTTCCAAAAGGATTGTCACACTACAGTCATCCAGGATAAGCAAAAGTAAGTACCATTTTGATGAAAAATACAACACAAGTGAAATATATTGATAAAACTAAGCCACCTTCTGCACACATGTCCTCCCTTCTCTGTTGTAGACAACAACAGTGTCAGTAGTATACGAGAGAAAACACTAGCATGCAGGATCATTAATTTGAGGTTATGGATTATGTTGTAAATATCATTCACTTCCTTACACAGACCAATCGTTTCACTTCATAAGACCACAATATATCATCACGAGCCGCATATAAATTGTTTGTTTTTGTATATGCTTTAACTCATAAAATGAAGGTGCCTGTTGACTAGCATATCACCCTGGACCACAAAACCAATCATAAGGGTCAATTTTTCGAAATTGAGATTTATACATCATTCTGAAAGCTGAACAAATAAGCTGTCCATTGATGTATGGTTTGTTAGGATAGGACAATATTTGGCAGAGATACAACTATTTGAATATCTGGAATCTGAGGGTGTAAAAAAAATCTAAATATTGAGAAAATAACCTTTAAAGTTGTCCAAATGAAGTTCTTAGCAATGCATATTACTAATCAAAAATTAAGTTTTGATATATTTACGGTAGGAAATTTACAAAACATCTTCATGGAACATGATCTTTACTTAATATCCTAATGATTTTTGTCATAAAAGAAAAATCGATAATTTTGACCCATACAATGTATTTTTGGCTATTGCTACAAATATACCCCAGCGACTTAAGACTGGTTTTGTGGTCCAGGGTCACATATGATAAATCACCAAGAACCACCGTTTCAACTAAAAATCTTTACAACTTTAAGTCACATACATCTTGGATGGCCTGAGGGTGAGTAAATAAGCAGCACTTTTTCATATTTGGGTAAACTATGTCTTTAAAACATGAACATACATGACAAATGGTACGGTTTTTACTTTTGAAAGGTTGCAGATGCAGTGTATATCTCACATGTTAAGTACAGGGCACTGAGCTCTACTACTAATTTAAGGCAGGGTGTGGGCAGCTCTTCTCTTGAGACCCAGTGGGTGGTGAGATTTACAGCATATGTGTGTGTGTGAGTATGGGTGGCTAAGGGTGTGTGTGCCCCACAGCTGTGCCTTTGCACACATTTAACACACACACACACCTGCAGAGATGACCCCTGAAGATGACATCACTGCTGCAATCGCCACTAATAGTTTCTTCAACAGTTTTACTACCTCAATAAACACTGTTAGCAACAAAAGACAGATTCG